GTTTCCCACAAGAAGCTATTCACTTTCCATAGTCAATTCCAAAATCTTATAGTAAAAGTCAATATTCCAAATTTATCTGGACCCTTAATCCGTTTATAACTTACATCAGAATCTTATTTAGCTTTTTGCTATTTCAGATTCTTTAAATTCTTACGCTTATGATTAAAATTTTCTTTCATTCAGGATTGAAGGCAGACTCACCCGGCATTTTCAGACTCATCGTTCCAAAGGTCTCTAATAGCTCTAAGTAGTTAATGAGCAATTTCCAAAAGTGATTAAAAAGTGAGGTTTGCGAACTTAGTGTCCTTTAAAAGTCTCCAGTGCAGTTGCAAGCAAGATGGCCAATCCCATCGTCTCCTGGTGCTCAAACCCGCTGTCCTGTGGTCTCCTCCTTGCAAGGAGAAGCCATTTGGAGCCCATGTCCTCTCTTTATCCATCCTCTCCCATCCTCTTTTTATCTGGAGAGGCTCCAAGGGACCGGTCTACTCACCAGTTCCTTGGTCTTTGCCGCGATCATCAGCTCTGCTTTTTCAAAGACATCTTCAGTTCTCCATACCTCCCCCGGAAGTCCTCCTTTATCTTATCTGGAGATGAATTGCCTGTCAATGCAAACTCCTCCTTATGGAAGCTCAAGAGCCCATCAATTTGCCTTCAACCTATTTCACTTTGCACCTTTCTGTATTCAAATACCCATCTTCAAGGCCAGCTGGTTGGTTCAGAATAAGCAAAACCTTGATGGACCACCCTCTGTGTTTATTTATTTATTTATTTTTCTTTATTTATTATTCCAATATATATAGCCACCCATCTCTCAGATATGACTCTGAGTGGCTTGCAAACAGATCTTTGCAACTGGCATCTGTTGTAGCTCATAACACGGGCTGAGATTTGTCGCAGCTCCTATCACTTCAGAAACCGCATCACTTTCCAAACGGTCCTTTGCAGCATTATATTTAAATTATGGAGTGACCTCTTCATTATGCCACTGTACTGGGTTCTTGCGCTCAACTTGTCCTAAACACTTACTTTCATTGAGCAAATAAGAGCCATGATAGCTCTGGTTTAATGTATTTGTTTAGTTGCATTTTAGGGTTTTAACTTGTCATAAACCACCCTGGGATTTATTTGGCTCAAGGCATTTGCTTTGTAGAGCGGGGGGATGGGGAAGGGGGGGGGGCAGGAAACAGTAGTTATCTAACGGGCAACACTGCCATCTGCTGCCCAAGTCCCAGAATTGCAACTTGTAATTCTTGCAATTCGCAATGGACTTTAAATGCTTTTTTATGCTGTAGGCTGGTTTGTCGTCGTCCTGTAAAGCAGCTTGTTATCCTCCTGTTTCAAAAGCCAAGGAGTACCAAGAAGGAGAGGACTCACCAAAGGCCACCTTCAAGGGAAACCATGCTGGTACTGAAATCTAGATCATACAGCAACACATTGGGTCATCCTCTCATTTTTAGAGCACAGAGACTTTTCCAAAACAGATAGCAACTCATATCCTGGATCCATTCCAGAAATCAAGACAGTATGTTCCACCACCACCACCCCCAAGTTACATAAATTTGTCCTCCTTCCCATGTCCCAGGCTCAACGAACACTTGACAGTTGGAGCTGGCAGATGAAGTAAATCTCCAGGAAGAAGAGAAGAAGAGGGACAAGACCGAGTGTGACTATCAAAAGCAAGAGAAAAAAAAGATATTCTGGACCATTGGAGTTCAGAAAAGGCCTTTGCAGAAGAAAAAGGAGATTCTGTAGAAGAGGAGACAACATGGTGGAACCCAGAAGGTCGGAGAGAGCCCAACTGTGCTCTGCAAGACGACAAAGAGAAGACTCTTGGCAGTCTCACCCCTACCCTCACTACTAACTCATTGCTGCAAGGGATCAGATCAGCTGTCTGCATCTCAGTCTATTAGCTTGTGAAATGGGCGATCTACAAGGATTGGGGAGGCGAGAGAATAATTTCCAAGTCTTATCAAGTCTATTTCCAATTACCCCTTTCTACCAACCCACATGGAGACAAATGCCACTGCAAACAAATATCACTCTGAATGTCAATGATCTGGGAAGGAGGCTCAGAAATCTGTAGGCTCAGTTGGTCCTCTCATTGTTTTTTCAGTTATTTTTTATTATTATTATTATTATTATTATTTATTGGATTTCTCCACCGCCCATCTCCCCCACAAT